GTCATCGAGTGCATCACCCAAGGGCGGGTTTTGGAGCGGCCCCGGGTGTGCCCCAAGGAGGTGTACGACGTCATGCTGGGGTGCTGGCAGAGGGAGCCCCAGCAGCGGCTGAACATCAAGGAGATCTACAAAATCCTCCACGCCCTGGGGAAGGCCACCCCCATCTACCTGGACATCCTGGGCTAGGCCGGGCCGCGCCACGCTCAGCTGCCTCCTCTCTCCTGGCCTCACGCCCGCGCCCCACCTCGCAGCTCCTTCCTCCATTCTCGACCGAAGCGACATCTTCATATAAACTCAAGTGCCTGCTACACATACAACACTGAAAAAAAAGAGAGAAAAAACCCTGTAAGGCAGTTTGACATATATATATATACACATATATATATATTTATATATCTAACTATCTATCTATATCTCCAGAGTTACTTCTCTAACACAGCGAGAAGCTGCTGAGACGAAACCACACACAGCAAGGCTCAGCAAATCCCAACCATTGTGAACACTCGTGAAAATCCTCCTGACGTTCGCCGCGGCACACGGCTCTTCGGCCCGGCTTCCCGGAGCAGAAGACCTGACGGCGCAGAGGGGCCATCTTTGCGCTGGATGGCCACAGTGGGGTGGAGGCGAATCACCACCACCGTGCAGGTTGCCCCTGCCCAGGGGCGTATCCCGGCCAGGTGTGCTGCCATCCCGGGGCGTGTCCCCGGCCAGGTGCGCTCAGCAAGGACTGTGCGCAGCGAGGACACCGCCCTGGACCGGGGCCCTGGCGCGTCGTGACCCGCAACATGGCCATCGCGCCTTCCCACTTTTGTCTCCTTGGAGGCGATATCCGCGATGTTCGTTCTGGAAGGTGGTCCTGAGGCTTCGGGGAGTCGAGGATGGCGCCCGCGGGGAAAGCCCCCACCAGCCACGGCCCAAACGAAAGCCGACGTGGCCGCGCTGCTGCGTGGGAGCGCGCGAGCCCCTGGCGAGGCCTGCCAGCCCTGCGCCACCTCCAGTCTTCACGAACTGGACTTTCTGGACTAAAGAGCCACAGAAGAATCCTGTCAGGTGCTCTCGTCGTTGGAAAGCTCCTGGCTCGCCCTCCAAATTCAGGCTTTTGGGGAGTGCTGACGTGGGGAGGGGCCAGGTTGTCTGCACTTAGGGCCCCAGAGGGTGCCGCCAGCGGGAGCCCCGCCCCCAGGGCATCTTGGGGTGTGCCCGGGGCCGTCTCTGCTGGCCCTGCCCCCTCCCCGCCCGCCCCCTGACCTCCGCCAGTCAGGTGAACCGTGCCGCGGGGCAAGGAGCCCGGTCTGCCTAGGGGCAGCGCTGGCGGAGGGGCGGGCAGGGGCCCGCGGGCAGCCCCTGGGCACCTGCCCTGGCCCTTAGCATTCTCCTCACGCCCCGGCCCCTGAGGGATTGATGCATCTGCCTGCGGCTGCTGTGAAACCGGGGCTGAGAGATGCTTTTGTGGCCTGTGCCGGGGGAAGGGCTGAGGCGTCTCTGGGCCACAGCCAACACGTGGCCGCTGCTTGGCATCCTGATGAGGACGGAGCCTGACCAGGGAGAGAGGACGCCCCTGGGCCCAGCAGCACCTTGGCCGCACCAGGGGACTCACCGCCTTCGGCTGCCTGTCAAGGAGGCAGCCTGGCCCCGCAGGGCCCTCCCAGGCTGCTGAGTCCCGCCTCGCCCCAAGCACAGAGCTGCCGACTGACCAGCCCCTCGCTGGCGACTGGGGGCCCGTGGCCTGCGCCCTCCCTGCAGAGAGGGGTCAGCGGCTGGGCCTCGGGGTCAGGTGTCAGGTGTGGGGGCACCACGCGGGGCCCACGCTGGATTTGTGTGTAGTTTTGCTTCTTTTTTAGACCAACACATGTTTTTATCAAACAGAAAAGAGCTGTGCTCGGACAGTGGGTCCCGGTGGGGCTCAGGGCCGGCGGGGCTGCTCAGCTGGACCGGGGGTGGGGCGGTGAGCGTGCTCTGGACGTGGCCGGGGCCGCTCACTGGGCTGGCTCCCAGTCCCGGGCGGCGGGAGTGCTGTGGACCGGCCGCCTGGAGCGCACCTGCTCGCACCCGCGGCCTCCTGGGCCCCATGTCCGCGCCCCAGCCCTCCGTCCACGGCGCAGCTCGGCGCCGGAGGGCCACGCAGCCTGCCACGGGCTGGAGACCGAGGGGCCTGCGGAAGTGCCTTCTGTGGCCGGGGCCGCGGGGCCTGGCCCGCCGTTCCCCGCGTGCCCCACGCAAACATGGGGTCGCCTCCCCCTGCTGGGCGTGTGTTTCTGAGGCCGCTGGCAGCTGGGCTGGGAAGCCGGGGCGGGGCTGGGGGCCAGTGGGCCACGAGGGGGCGGCGAGCTCGGAAGGCGCCAGCAGGTCTTACAGGCGAGCCTGGGGCCGGGAGGCGGGTGGGGCTGACGGGCACAGGGCGGGCTGCTGTGGCGCTCGGGGTGAGCAGAGTCCGTGCTTGCTGCTGCCCTCGGGCTGTACCGGGCCCACTAGACACGCATGGCCCTGCCTCAGTTTCCCCGCCTGCAAAATGCGGATGTGCCTGCCGGCTCTGGCCCTGCTGGCTCTGAAAGGCTCCGACTCGTACGCCGCCTGGGTCGCTTGACTCGTGCTCCCCGGCACGCCGGCACCACCCTCCCGGACTCGGGTCCAGACCACCCGTCTACCCCCATCACCGCAGTTCAGGTGATACTGGCCCAGAGGGAGCAACCTCGGCTTCCTGCACCCCAGAACGTGTGGGCGAAGGTTGCAGGGGTGATTTTCAAAGTGGTTTAATGAGTCTGAAATGACATCCCAGCGCCGCCTCGCCTGCCGCCTCCCCCACACCCTAGCCCACTTCAAATCGCATCTGGGTGGCTAGTCCAGCAGCCCAAGCTGGCTCCGCCACAGCACCCAAGGGGGGTGCCCTCCCCTCCCCCCCCGCTCGATGCGGGGGGGCTGAAGTCCACCTGGGAGTGGGCATCGTGCCTGGGCCCCCTGGCACTTCTTTGCTCTGGAGCAAGTCTAACGCCCTCGAATCTGATCCTCGGTCCCCCACCCCCGAGTGGTCCTGAGGGCCATGGGCCTCCTCTGGCCCACAGACGGGGCACGGGGCTCCCCCCACCCAGCAGGCACCTGCGCTCCCTGGAGAAAGGCTCCCGGCGGAGGCAAAGCAGCGGGGGCCTGCTGGGCGCGGCGGAACCGCGCTGCCCCTGCGACACCAACTTCGCGGGACTCACTCGTGCAAGTATTTCTGGTGCTAAACCCCACCGAAGCCAAGGCCACAGAGAGCCGCCCCGGCACTGGCTGTCAGAGTCCATCGCTGGGGAGAGGGCGGGCTCACGGGAAGGGGCGCCGTGGCCCGGCTCTCCTGGGGGCGCCCGAGACCTGGGCCAGGGGAGGTCGACGCTCAGATTTCTCATGGGAGTCATTTAAGGGTGTGGAGCACACACCCAACGGTCTCTTTCCGTCTAAAACAAAACAACAAGCCTGTAGCCTGGACTCGCCTTTTGTTTACTTTTTCACTGGTTTGTTAGAGAGAAGAGCGTAAAGGAGAGCGAGGCAAGGCGTGGCCAGGCTCTGAGCGAGGCAAGGCGTGGCCAGGCTCTGATGTCACAAGCAAGTCAGCAGGGCCAGCGGCTCTTTGGTTGAAGGGATACTTGGGGGAGCTGGTCAGAGCCCCATTTTCACCAGCTGGCCCCTCAGCCAGCCTTCCCCTGTCTCCCCACCTCAACGTCTACCCCACTCCACACCAACATACCCAAAGTTGCCAGAAGCTGCTGCAGGAGAGGGCCACACCTCCCAGCCCCGTGCCAGCCACTGGCAGTCGGAACTTGGATCAACAACAAGAGACTTTGGCTGCTGATTGTAAGGAACTTGGGTTGATGCTAGACAGAGGTTGGAAGAGGGCAGCATTTTCAGCTGTAGGCTTTTCGCCAAAGTCCTCCCCAGCCTGGCTTCCTTGCCCTCTCTCCCCAAACCTGACAGCAGTTGCTTGGCGGGAGGGGCAGTCACGCGGTGGTCTTGAACGCGGCATCCTCTCTGGGCTTCGCTCAGAGTCGGGAGCAAAGAAACATCTCCAGACGTTTGCTGAATGGTTCCTTGAGCCCACGGTCCTGACTCCGGCCCTCCACAGCCGCTGCATGTCCACTGTCAGCTTTGATGGGCAGCTGAGTCGCTGGGCTACCCCCTGGGTTTGCCTTGCAGCAACACCCAAATGGCGCCCTTAGCCCAGGCCTGGGTGCTGGCGTCCCTGTGTGTCTGGTGTAGGGTGGTGTCCACCCGCTCGGACACCGACTGAAACGAGTTGGCCCATGCTTTATGATTTTAATGATAAATTCCAAACTGTGTCATCGTTACTGAGCTCCCATCATAGGCTTCGGAAAACGCGTTGGGATTGCTTGGCCTCGCGGGGAGTGTGCGCGTAAAGAAAAGCCGGGCCTGTGTCTGTATTTCGTGCAATGGCTTCCGTGAAGGTCAGCTTGGAGCCCACCTGGGGGCCGAGGTGCCCGGTCTGTGGGAGGCGTGTGTCAGCGCTAGAGCTGAGAGGCCCAGAGAGACGAGCGGTTCCGTCAGGAAGGTGCTGGTGGGGCTCTCCCGCCTGGGCCGGCCTGGTCACCGGGTCTCTCTGCGTTAAGTTGTCTGATGGCCACGGTCTGAGCAGTGGTCGCTCCCTGGTGGTCGATAGCTTGCCAGGCAGGAGCCACTTCTGCCACACGGCCTCCGGGGTGGCGTGGAATTCCCCTGCGTGGCAGGCGGCACGGGTCGCCAGTAGCTTGCCCCTTGCAACATGCGTCGCTGCCACTGCGGCAGCGCTGGGTGGTGCCCTGGGCCCGGGCCCCGCCCTCAGCCCGGCTCTGGGCTTCTGACCCCACGGGCCGCCGATGCAGTCCCGCTCACCCTTCACAGCTTCTGTCCGGCAAGAGTCGCCTGTGGCTCGGGCGCCCCTGCGCCCCACAGCCCACCTACCCTGTTCTGGAGGAGCGGGCGGAAGCAGGGGACCCCTGCGGTCTTGGCGTCCTCGGTCACGGTGACGCCTTCGCGTTCCCTTTCCTCTCGGGCCAAGTTCCAGCCTGGTTCGTATTTGCAGCTGGGGACTGTCCATCACACAGAGGCAGGACAGAAAGCCCCCTAGGGAGCGCTGGGGGTGTTTCCTCGCCCCCACGGGTGAACATGGCCTGTGGCTGGCCACGCCATGCTCGCGGCTCGTAGGACACTCTGATGGCCAGTATGTTGGGCGTCTCCACGGAAAGTCCGCACAGAGCCCCGCACAGACCCCTGCTGCCGGGCAGGGCCTTGGCCTCCCGCATCACAAGGAGACCTGGGCTCTTCTCAGCGTGGCGCACGGCGTTAAGTGACCTCCCAGAGGGAGGCCGCGTACACAGCCTCCCTCTA